AATCCCAGGTAGCCGGCTCAAGGTTGACTCAGCCTTCTATCCTTCCGAGGTCGGTAAAATGAGTACCGAATACCCGGGCGGGGGGAATGTGTAGCCTGCATAATTAACTTGTAAACCGCCCAGAGAGTGCTTGAAGCACTATGGGGTGATATATAAGCAGCACACTTTGTTTTGCTTTGCTTCTCTAATATTGTTCCCATATTTTCCTCATTTCTTTTATCTGTTAATATTGAAGAATACTAGGATCCTCCATCTTTTAGCTTCTTAAAATCCATAGTGATGTTGATCTGTTACTTTTATTTAACCTACATCTGAATTGTATACTTTATAATAAATAAATATATACATCTATAAATAAAATAAATTTATAAATATATTTATACATTAGATTATAAATATACACTCTATCCTAGAGTACATGTTGTGAATCGAGGAGTAAAAGGGGAGCTTTTTTCATCCCCTTTTAATTCTCTCCACACATCTTTGAAATCGGTTTTATGGTATCTTCTTTCTTTTTTTGTAGGATGTGGTTTATCTTTCATTTTGTGCATTACCAGATTAAAATCTCTTGCCATTATTACAAACCTCTTCTTTATAGCTTCTAATTCTTTAAACACTTAAAAAAAAATTATTATCATTTGGTAAATAAATATTTAATGTATCGCTTCCTCTCATTTCATCTTGTAGTATCAAATATCAACCTCCTTCATCTCTCTTTAATTTGTTCATCTTAAATTCACATTTCTTAGGAACAATAATGTCCATGCATTTCAATCTCATAAATGAGATCAAATCCATTTCATAAATGTGTGACTATGATACTTTGAGTTCATTAATTGTTTTTATGTTTCCTGTAAAAACACAGGATCCGATTTATCCTTCTTTAGCACAGCTTCAATTATTTTCCTTTTAGTTACATTCCCCAGAACTTTAACATTTAAAGATATTACCATCATAGTTTTAGCCATATAATTTAAAAACATATCTCAATCCTGGTCTCTTATTGTAATAATCCATATAAAATAAAAATTAATCCCCAAATTATATCCAATTCCTATTGCACAAAATCTCCACCCTGACATACCTGTACTTCCCTTCTCCTTCTACCATAGTAACCTTACTCTGATCACTACACCTAAAAGCATAAGGGTGAGGGGAGAAACTAACTAATTATTAATTAGGACCATTATTCTTATATCCTACCACTCCTAAAGTCACCCTTCTCTTTTACATTCCACCTCTGTCTTTGCCTATCCTACATTATAATGATGAAACATTGCTTTTGCCTAATTTTTTCACAACCTGTGTATTATACACCCAGCCTCTTCTCCATAAATTCCCACTATTCTACTCAATCACATTATATCATTCTTTTAATTCAACTATTCAAGAATACTCTACTGCATTTACCAAACCTTCTTACCTTATTTCTTATACTCTACCTATTCATAAAGATTTAAGATTTACCCTTTCTCTTTTAAATTTTGTCCAATTACACCCTTATAATTTATTTAATTATTTATTTATTTATTGGACTTATATACCGCCCCATAGCGCTACAAGCACTCTCTGGGCGGTTTACAATTTTAATTATACAGGCTACACATTGCCCCCCCCCCAGCAAGCTGGGTACTCATTTTACCGACCTCGGAAGGATAGAAGGCTGAGTCAACCTTGAGCCAGCTACCTGGGATTTGAACCCCAGGTCGTGAGCAGTTTTAGCTGCAGTACAGCGTTTTAACCACTGCGCCATGAGACTTGTAAAACACATTAGAACTTTAATTCACCAGTTTATATTACTATACAGTATATTTCCTTCTCTGTCAATTATTTACTCTGGATATACTAATTCTATTTTAAAAAAATATTGATTACACTTTATTTTACCCCATTCCTCTAATTAAATTCACGTTCTTCAAGCAGCAGATCCTGACCTTGTTCTAGCGTATGTACTCTATAAAATTTCCCATTGTATAAAAACCTCATATGCACTGGATAGCCCAGGTGTATCTGATATTATTCTTCCACAGTATAACTTTGACTAGTTTTAATAAATGTATTATTTATTTGTTTGTTTGTTTGTTTGTTTGTTTTACTATTAGATTTATATACCGCCCATCTAGAACATGTCTACTCTGGGCAGTTTAATATATGAAATGTATGAAAGAGATAGTCTGGAAACAAAGATCTTGAAGCACTTGAACTGGTGCCTCTTTAAATTTTAACCTCCTTGAATTTTCTCTTGTCATTCTCATAGATACTTCTTTCTTGTAAAAACTGGAATATCTCCACATTTCTCGGAAACATTTTGTATGTGATTTTAAAACCCACTCAATGTACGTATTCTCTTGGTTGTTTTATCTTTGGGATCATTTCTCTGAGCCACTGTATCATAGAATCATAGAATAATGGAGTTGGAAGGGGCACGTAAGGTCATCCAGACCAACCCCCTACTAAGTGCAAGAATCCAAATCAAAGTAGATCAGACAGACGGTTGTCAATTTTCTCTTCAGTGCCTCCAGTACTGGAATGCTCCCTACCTCCTGATGCAATTGGTTCTATTGTTAAGAAGTCTATCCTGACTTTTAGCCAAATCTGGCTTCCTGTAACTTGAGCACATTATTACGTGCCCTGCACTTCGGGATGGATGATTCAGAAAAGATCCTTCCTCTCCTCTGTATGACTATCTTTCAAGTATATGAAAAGTGCTTTCATATCTCCCCTCAGTCTTCTTTTTTCCAAGGCTCATCATGCCCAGCTCTTTCAGTCTTTCCTAATTTTGAAAACTTATTATTTTAATTTTACACTTTAATTATGAGTTTGTGCTTTATTTTTATGTTGTTGTTAGTCACCATGAGTGTCATTTTTGGCAAAAAAAAAGTGAGATACATAAATGAATGAATGAATGAATGAATGAATGAATGAATGAATGAATGAATGAACGAACAAACAAACAAATGAATGAGTAAACAAACAAACAAATAAACAAAATATTAACTAAGGATCTTTGTTTGAGAAGGTACTTTGGTAGGTAATACATTTTACATGAAGTGCCATGAAGTACATACTGTATAAGGCTTTTACTTCAGGGTGACTGAAGAAATTAATGTTTGCGGGAGCAACTCTGAATTGCTGGCACAAATTAAGTTCCAATCATTTAGCTGGGAATACAAAAGCACAAGTATACCATAGGTTACTAAGGCAAATTTTTAATTAGCAGCAGAGAGACAGAGGTGTTGGAAGACAATGCTGGGAAGAATTCTGGTCATAACAGAAATGTGTTTTGGTCTCATCACAGAGGAATGAATCTCAGGGATCCACTTAGGTGTTGCCTTAGCCAGTCCTGCACAGCAAAAATATTGATGTAGAAATCTCGTGGTCTATGGTTGGGTGGAGGACGGGCCCGCTTTATCTCCTCTGTGTTCCAGTCCTTCTTCTTAATTTTACATGGGTCATATGTACCCCAGCTGATCACCCCCACCTGCCAACACAGATAAAGAAGCCAAGTAAAGAGTTAAAAAGAGAGGTTACTTAGAACCTATTACCATAGTTTTTCAAATAGTCCTCTGTGAAGCCACACAAATGGGTTTTACTGCGCCTGCACAGGACTTCTCGGAATAGTCTAGAACTTAAAAAGACATGATTAGTAGGACATCGCCCTGTGGAGCGCATGCTCCGCCCACCCGTCTTTTTAAGCTCTAGAATATTCCAAGAAGTCCTGCGCAGGCTCCGTAAAACCCATTTGTGTGCATTCACAGAGGCCACGAAGAAGAATGGCAATTCACAGGCATGAAAAAAAATCAGTGCAAATTGTCATCAGGAATGCTACAACATCCATCTAAAATAGGCGCTAGTAGCAGAAAGTAGATCCTTCTTTACATAATTCTGCGCTTATGATCTCCTCACCAATAGGATACTATTTTACACTAGGCTCTAATCAGTGATCCCAAATCTAAAACAGTGCTTATCCTGAAAGTTTAAATAAAAGATGGCTGTGTCTTTTGAACCTTTCTTGTGAACTTCCTTGAATCACCTGGTTGGTCACTGCTGGAAATAGAATGCTGGGCCGGGCATTTTTTACATGCAAGACTGAATATTTTCCCTTTGAGGGAGATGCAAGAGAGAGAGTTTGCCCATATGATAACACTTGCCTAGATGCTTCTGCACATATTTTGTGCTTGTCCCCTTTTTATGCAATGATTATTAAACCTGTATTGATTTACTGGAAATATTACTGTCCAAAGACCTTGCTCCTAATCTACTGGAAGACAAAAATCCTCATTTTCTCTGCAGCAATTGCTGAATTTGTTGCTAGTCAGTTCTCCAAGGCAACTGAACCACTTTTATGGTCTAAATATTTCATTTTTGTGCTGATCAACTGAGTTTCATGAGCTTCTAAGGGAGGGAAGCAAAGGAAGGAAAGAACACTGGGCTTGATCGGACATGGCCCTGGACTACTCACACACTACAGTGTGATGCAATAATTAGAACATTAGACAACTGTAGCTGTAGTTTCAAATCGATCCTCGGCCATAAAGATAAACCAGGTGGCTTTAGACTAGTCATTCTTTCCCGATATAGCCTACTACCGTACAGGTGTGTAGTGGGGATAAATAGGGATGGAAGGATAAAATTCTAGAGTAAGGCTGGGATAAAAATCAGAAAGAGGAAATGGTTAAAGTGAGACCCTAAACATTTTCTGCAATGCGTTTATTTCATATATGTTCCCTTCTCTATCCGCAACACAAACCGAATAGAATTCCAAAAACCTTTCTGGGTTATCATTTTCACCATTTTCTTCCTTTCCCTTTCAGATTTTGATCCTACCGATCCTCGACAGATGGACCCTTCCCCATCTGCAGGGCCCTCCTCACAACAGCCTCACAGACACAAATCGTAATAACGAGATGTCGCAAAGGCGTCAAGGAAGTTAATATCAAAATGTGGTTGAACATGGGAGGAAGAAACCACCTTGTCTGAAAAGCTGGCACTCAGATAAGGATTGTAAAAGGAGTTGAAAAAAACAGACAAGTTAATTGCAACATGGCATTGCTTCATTATATTTGCAAACTCAGATAAGATAGCATATGGACTGCGAAGGAAACAATTTCCATTTTAGATAAACGATTTTTAAAGGAACCATCACAAGACACAATCTTTGCGTTGGTGAACTACTGAATTCCTTGCTTGACTAGACTAAAGATTGAAACGTCAGATCACGGTTAAAGGTTTATAGTTTAAAGCCTATAATTTGTTTTAATTGCTCATAAAACTTATATGTGATAGTTATAGTAGTTGTTTTGAAGATACTCGTATAAAGACATCATGTTAAATGTCGTAAAACCGTACAACCACTTTTGGAGGGAAAATGTATGTAATCTCTCTCTCTCTCTCTCTCTCTCAGGGGTAAACTAAAGAGAAATAGAAAAACAAAGAAGCCCAAAACTTTGTGGCATCTTAAAGACTAACTGCTGTTTTTGTGAGTTTTCATGGACAAGTCCACCTCCTCAGACTTAAGAGGATCTTATGACTTGTCTGAGGAAGTGGATTTGTCCATGAAAGTTCACATCAAAATATAGCAGTTAGTCTTGAAGTTGCCACTACATTTTTGGCTTCTTCATTCTTTAATTTTTTCTTTTGTTTTTGCCTGATACAACAGAAAAATGCTTACAACTATATACTTGTACTTGAATGACAAAACCAATTAAAAAGAAAGTAAAAGCAGCCTGAAAGAATGGGCTATATGCTGAGAGGCAATGACTGGCCTGAAGCCACCCAAATTATCTTGATGGTTGAGCAGTGATTTGAAAGTTGGTCTATGATGGTCAGAGTCTTAACAGTCCGATAACTACACGACAGAGGCTCTCATGAGAAATGATGGGATAGTACTGGGATACATCATGAGGCTCATTTACCTGAAAATATCTTTCCCTCCTCTCCACGAACAGTGATCCCCCAGATTCTCCTGTTAAAAAATTGAAAGTGGATTTAGAGTTGACTCAAGTCCTGCAGTCTTTTCCTGAGGTTATTTCAGAGAGAAAAACGTTCAAGTTTTATCTTCAGACTAACGAAGGATTAGTTCTAGATTATCTGATACAAACAAGGCAGGACAGGATTCCTTCTCAGGTAAGAGCCTTGTGGTGCAGTAGTTAAACTACAGTACTGCAGTCAAGACTGCTCACAGCATGAGTTCAATCCTGACCAGTACTGCGGTCAAGACTCTGCTCACAACATGAGTTCAATCCTGATGGGGTCAAGGAGCTGGCTTGAGGTTGGCTCAGTTGTCCATCTTTCAGAGGTCAGTAAATCGAGTTCCCAGCTTGCTAAGGGGGCAATGTGTAACCTGCATAATTAAATTGTAAACTGTCCATAAATTGCTTTAATAGCTGTGGGGTTGTATATAATCAGTATGCTTTGATTTATCTCTCTCTACTAAAGAACACCCTTAAAACATTGTAAGACAGAAAGGGTCTACAGCTATAGAGTTCATGTAGTAACTTAATCTGTAAAATAAAAATTTCTGTTTTTTTGTGTAGTCTGATGTTTTACTTTAAAACTGAAAAACACAAACTCTGTCGCACATAACACCCTCCTTAGAATTCTTCCATATCAAGTGTTCTAAAAACTGTGCTGCTGACTTCTGTTTAAAATCATAACTTTGTTACTGAAGAATGTGGAAGTGAAAACATTTAAACTAAATGATGTTAAATTTATCCCTGGCAGAAATCCTCTTTACATGGGCCATGCCATGTAAGGCTGATGACACAATAATCTGTGGTGGTTTTTCACAAACAAAACTTTTCCAATCCCTCTCTCTTTCACTGCAGAAAAGATGTTGGGGGGCATTGGATGCGGGGTGGAGGGTTTGAGTCTTTAACTGCTGAAAACTGCCCCTGGTGGTAAACTCCCTGGCAGTAATTTTTGGTAATTAAAAAACTCCCCCACATTCTGCATACCCGATGGTCTCCCCATGATGAAATGGATCCCAAAGGAGCTTCGGGATCTTGGGGAAGGAGATGTTTAATTTCTGAAAAATGTCCATCATTTTCATAGAGTGGAAGGGGTCTATAAGGCCAGCGAGTTCAACCCCCTGCTCAGTGCAGGAACGCAAATCAAAGTAGATATGACTGATAGTTGTCTGACTGTCTCTCGAATGCCTCCAGCATTGGAGGGCTCACCACCTGCCGAGGTAATTGGTTCCATTGTTGTACTGCTCTAACAGTTAGGACGTTGATGATGTCACCAGCCTTAAGCAGTATAAGTTGTGCTGCTGGATTTCAGGCTCTGTTTGGCCATCAACATGGTCGCAAAAGAGCAGAAAAGTCGTATCACTTGACAGCCTATCAAGAATCTGCTGTACATGCAATAACCATAATACGGATATTGTTTCATCTTGCTTTCATGAGGCACCTGTGAAATGCACAGTGTTTGGGTAAGTCACTTCGTTGGCTAGCCAATATGTCACCGGTCCATCTGGAGTTGTAGTCTGCAAAAGTAACTTTTTTCAAGCTCTAGAAAAACATACGCTCTCTTCAGATGCCTTTGGTGTATTAAATTCTCAAGGCTCTAACCAGACATTTATCAAAGGAAGTAAGAAAAACAAGAGAATTCACACAGTTGTGATGGGAGCACATAGCTTTGGTCACACCTTTCCAGCTTAATTTGTACAAAAACACTTCTTCAAGATTAAGACCCACTTCCCTACCTACCACCAACACTCTCCTTGATTAATCAAGAGCCAAAATTACCTTTGCAAGTGGCAGCTTCCACAGCGCTATCTTGCCCGCTGCACAGGAATCTGTCTGTTACCACTTCGGAGACATCAGACACTTGGGAATATAGCATATCTTCTTGTTTAGCTCCAGAAATACACAAGGGACGCTATGAGGATCAAAATGTGAATGGATTTTGATGGCAGAATTGCTAAAATGGCCATTTTAGCACAGACGTCATTTTGGAAAATTAGCAAAGTGAAATCAGTCAGCATCGGCCCAGGGACCATAAACTGTTTTTCTCCCCTAAGGACAGGAGGTAATGTGTTTAAGATAGACCAGGTGAATGAATCCAGAGGAAAATCACATGGAAGCATCATTAATTTGTTTCCTTAATAAAAGAAACCAGTAATGGTCCCGTATCTTTATACTGGTTTTTGAGTACAAAGTTTTTAGTATTGTCTGATTGATTAGAATTATAAGAATTAGAATATATATAAAACTGCCCTGCACTTTGTTGTGCAACCACACAAAACTCAACAACAAAAGAAAGCTACTCTGTTCACTAGATTTTGTTTGGATTTTGGTGGAAGGAAGGAAGCAGTGTAAACTAGTTATAATAATATTATTATTATAGCTGGCTGGAATCCTACTAGCATTTGTGTAAGTTCTGCACATCTTGCTGCAGCTAATTGCAGCTAATAGAAGAGGTGCCAGGGCATATCTTGGTTGTGCAATCAGCGGCACAACCAGCCATGTCACCATTACATGCCCAGGCAACCTAGAGAATTAGCCGCAGCAAATTATTCAGACCTTATTGGTATGCCAGTGGATCCTGGCTACTACATTTGAACCACCAGTTCATTCGTCAGTGTGGAAGAGGGTTGTCATTTGTGGCTCTGGAGGAAATACCCAGAAATACCCTCCAAGGCAAATTCTCTCAAGACGTTTTCTATCAAATTACTGTTACCCAGAATACTAGGAGCAGAATATAACTTACGCTTGTCTTTGTCTTGATTTCCACATTCATTCTCTTGTAGTCCAGGGATATGAACTGAGCAGGCACCTTCTCAAAACTCAGCAGCTCCAGCTCTACAAGGCATGAGGGGGAAATGACCATGAGAGTCAGCAGAACTTCAGAGCTCTCTTGGACAAGAGTTGGCACCAGAAACTTAAGAGTGTGATCAGACAAGGACATAAAGATGGCCGTGGATCATGCTAGGAAGACTTACCTGCAGAGTATGATCCTAAATAAGAATAATCATGTGCTGTCAAGTCCATTCTGACATATGGCGAACCTTTTCAGGGTTGTCCAGGTGGAGAGTAATCAGAAGTGGTTTACCCTTCCCTTCTCATGGGGGTGCCTTGGGATTGTGCAACTTGCCCGAGGCTACACAGGCTGGCTCTTCACTGTGGAGGCCCAACGAGGAATCAAACTCTTAACGTCTGGCTCTTGCAGCCAGATACAGTGGTGCCTCGCATAGCAACGATAATCGGTGCAGCAAAAATCGCTGCAAAGTGATTTCGTCGCTATGCAATATTAAAAAGCCCATAGGAATGCATTGAAACCCCTTCAATGTGTTCCTATGGGCTTCAGACTCACTTTAAAGTGAAAATCCTCCATACGGCGGCCATTTTCGCTGCCCGGTAAGCGAGGAATCCGTCCCAGAAAACAGCGGACGGCCATTTTTTTTATCCGGCTGCCATTTTGGAACCGCTGATCAGCTGTTAAAAAATCATCGCTTTGCAATGATCGGTAAGTGAAACAGGGTACCAATCATCGCAAAGTGATTTTCCCCTATAGGGAACATCGCAAAGCGATCACAAAAGCGATTGCAAAAAGTTAATCGCTATGCGATTTCTTCGTTAAACGGGGCACCCGTTAAGCAAGGCACCACTGTATTTAACTCACTGAGCTATCCAACCAAGAACTTCAAAGAGCCTCTTTAAGGCGACTCTTCCCTCTCATCCTGATCGCACCAGCTTAAAAAAAAAAAAGCGCAGTTCTGCTGATTGACCCAAAAGGTCTGGTGGACAGAGAATACCACAGGACTGAGTGGGTTTGTGATTTGTAGTACACTGCCTGGTCGCCAGCAAATACAGTGAACCAGACAGTACTGTCAGTACTCCCAAAAATGGGTTTGAAAACCCCATCTGACCGCACCCTTAGTTAATTAAGGGAGGGGACAGAGACCTAAAATTGCTTTCCTTGGTGGAGGATGGACAGCCAGAGTGCTGATGCTCAGCTACTAGCCCTCCAGATTTGAGCCTAAAATTTTCAGAATCCCTGATCATGAGACACGGAGCCTGGGATTCTAGGAGGTCATGTCAAAAACACCTGGAAGGCAAAGGCTAAGAACCATTGTTGAGCTGGGTAGTCATTGCATGACTAGAATCAAAAGCCTGAACTTGCAGAATTCAAAGAAAGATAATGCATTTCAGCACCACAGTTCTCAAACTTTGTACTGGGCTACCTTTTCTAATCTGAAGTGGCAGATTCTTGCAAAAAAAGAAAAAAAAATGTTGAAACTGAAGTTGTCCTACTCTGGGCACATGATGAGAAGGCAGGATTCTCTGGAAAAGACGATCATGCTGGGAAAAGTGGAATGCAGCAGGAAAAGAGGAAGACTGAATATGAGATGGATGAACTCAATAAAGGAAGTCATTGCCTTTAGTTTGCAAGTTCTGAGCAGGGCTAAGGGCAGGGCCTTTTGAAGGCCACTGATTTCTGGAGTTGCCGTAAGTTGGAAGCAATTTGACAGGAGGTAACAACAACAACAGAATAGACGAGACTACAGGCTGGTTGTATGTTCTATGTATTATGCTTTGTATGGCTTAATAAGTAGCTGACAGCTTATACCAAGATCCAGGTCTATAGAGCCTGTGTCCTGAGCACACTCCTGTACTGCAGTGAGTCCTGGACCCTTTGTGCATGGCAGGAGAGGAAGCTGAACACCTTCCATATGCGTTGTCCCCGACGGATTTTTGGTATCACCTGGCAGGACAAAGTTCCAAATAGTGTAGTCCTAGAACGAGCTGGAATTTTTAGCATGCATACATTTACTGAAACAGCGACGTCTACATTGGCTTGGACATGTCGTGAGAATAGCTGATGGTCAGATTCCAAAAGATCTCCTGTATGGAGAATTA